TACATTAAAATAGTAGATGGGTAATACAAAAAATACTAGTGTGCTACTCATAAACAAACAGTACAAAATTCACCTTTACACACCTAAAGGTGGCGGCACGGTGGAATGATATTTTTGAGATCCGGATATTTCAGTTCTTTTTTGTCTTATCTTGACATTTAATGAGTCTCTCCTCTCGGAGTGTGTTATGGTATTTGTGGAACGTTGTGGTCTTTGAACAGTATACTTGTTTCTATTAGATTGTTCGTTAGACGGTTGGTTATATTTTCTAGGCTGGGCTAAACTATCAAGCCTAGATTTCGGCGGCCCACGCACTGCTTCACCTCTAGCCTCTTTAACTTCATCTATTATATCTGTTATTTTTCTTCGGTTTAATTTATCAACTGGTTTTTCCTCCACCGAAGACTTTAAATGATATTGTGATCTTCCAACGTGAGTGAGTGTATTTACCCTTGATTTTTTATTCTTTGGGGTTGAACCCCTTGATGACGGCTCGCTGGGTTTCAAATTGGGTTCTTGTTGTAGTGGCTTTCTAAAAGTAACTTGACGACTGCTATGTTTCTTGTCAGTGTCGTATCTTTTTGATTTTGGTTCGCTGTCTGTCTTCGGGCGGTTAATTTTAACACTTTCGAAATCACGCAGCAATTGTGAGATTGCTTTTAACGGATTTTCAGATATTTTAGTGACTGGACTAGTTATCTTCCTTCGATCTTTTTTCTGTTTATCATCACATGACGGTTGAAGCTTTGTTGAAGCTTTAGTCTTTGGTATTGTAGCTATCGGTATTTCGCTTTTTCTATGAATGTTTTTTTTAACAGGTGAATCCAGGTAAACTTTTTCAAAACTAAAGCAACTGGGATTTGATGATACCAGGTGATGTTTAAGGCTTGTACCACTATCTGAAGGATGTACACTGGAACCAATTTGTTTAGAATCAACCGAAACCTCAAACTCATCACATTCAGGTATTTTGTTATTACTCGAACTGGTGTCTAATTTTCCAAGCTTTTTCATTAAATCGTATATTTTGTCGATACTTTTCCGGCATTGTACTGGCAGTACTGTATCCTTTCCTTTATGATTTTCTAATGTATGTAAAGAATCTTTTGGCGTATTAGCAGAAATTACATTTTGATTTTCTGTGGCGTTTAATAGAGGGCTACTCTTCTCGGATATTACGTCATCCTGTCTTGGACTGCATTTCCTGAAACAATAATTTTATTTATTTTTGTGTTACGTTTTTTTAATTACATGTAAAGATATTTTTTTTAGATTTATAAGTCACTCACTGCGAATCTCGAGAGATAGGTGATACTGGATGAGAAGGATTGTCAAGGGAAATAATATCCTTTAACAAATTTAAACTAGATCTTAAATCTTCTGATACTCCAGAGGAAGATGCGGTACAGGCATCTTCAACATTCTGCTTCAATTTTAGTTTATTTTGGTGATGCATGACCTCCGTATCGGCATCATCTAAGTAGTAGCTGTGATTAATATATTTTTCTTTATTTCTTGGAGACCTCGGTGACTTTTTACGTATTTCATCTTCGCAATTTTCTAATTCAACCACAATCTTTAAATCAGTGTTACTAGGCTTCCGCTCTTTTTTGGAATGTTTGGACTCATTTAGAGATTGTCCATATATGGAATTGTAAAACGACTTATTTGTTATTGATAATTTGGTAACTGAGCTCGATGCTTGCGCCATAACACCTTTTGCGTATTTGTTTTTATTTATTTTACAATTATCACTCAATGATTTCTTCTTTATCTCGCGTCGTTCTCGAATTTCAAGAAGTCTCTTTCTTTTTTTCTCCTCCATAACATGCGAAGAATTTTCATACGGAGACTTAATTCTTATTCTTGTCGGAGACTTCTTCTTCTTGTGGTTAAATTCAATCTCTTCAGGGACTGGTGAGTTCATATTAAGCCGTTGTACAGTATAACACAATGCCTCGGGAGACATCAAGCTAAAGTTAGCCTCAGTTTGTTCGTCACTGTAAGACTTGACATTGACAATGTTTGGATAAGTAAAAAAAGAATCATTATAACCATGACTTTTACTAAAGGCAAAAGACGCAGAACTATTGTCGGTATCAACTCCAATAAAAGAATCATCACAGGTGTCAGGCGACCGATTCGTTAATAGACTATACTCGTAGGTACTATACGGCAGGTCACTTGTTGTTTCACGTTCGTTTAATTCCTCTACTTTAGGTGTATCAATTTGTAAGTCACTCTTTCGGTTATCCATCGGATCGTATGTAATAGACGGTATAGGGGTTGATGAACAATCTGAAAAATAAAAGGAGCTAATGTTCTCAATGCAAGGTATGATAGAACACATAATATGGCAAAAGTACGCTTACCTTGAATTGAATGTTGCGGCACAGGTTGCGTGATTTTAATAGAATTAAGTTTACTTATAAGGAGGCCGGACTCTGATTTCTTTATATTAAGGACAACATCAACACGAGAAGGAGTCTCGTTTAAAGAATTTACCTCCTTTTTGCAACTTATAATTAAATTATCGTTGCAACGTTTTGTAAATAACTTGTATGTTCCACACAACAACCTAGGAATTTCTATTACTATTTTCTTCTCTAATAATTTCGATAGCGATCTAATGTCTACTTCGGAATGGACGATATCATGCCAGGTACTTTTTATTCTGCTTGATTTACGTTCCATATGTAGAGGAATGCTCACTGAATTTGCTAACATGCTCTTTTTAGAGCCATTGTCATGAAAGACATCAGTTGGCTCAGCTTGCCTCCACTTTTCTTTAGCCCTTTCTGTCAAGTAATCTCCATTACTAATGCGTTTGAGTTGTTCTATTGTATGTTGAACGTATCGTATGATATTGTCCATATAAAAATTGCTGTTATCTTCTAGTCGTCTGCAACATATATAATCCAGAAGCGACGAAGGAAGCACGTCTTTGTCCGTCATTGCAGGCATAAAGCTGTTTAATTGTTCTTTTATATAAGGGTCTTTAAAAAGAAAGTGTTTGTCATATGTTGAGCCTAACTTGTTAGAATTCATAGCGAGATTGCCAAGTTTCTGGCACAAAGTTTTTTCAAATGAGGCAGTGTTATTGAACAAATCAATTCTTTCTTTATTTATCATCATTATATTTCGGATGTCTTCCGTACTATATATCTCACCAACATCCGATTCGTCTGAATCGTGATCATATATGATTGTTTCAACGTATTGATTCGACGGTTTCGTTTGGGAATGTTTTACTTCTGACATCAGTCTTGTCCCAACGTCCAAATTTTTATATAAAATGACTAAATCGCTTGCCGTCAGTGTTTCATCTTAAAGTTTAAAGAGATTGAATAATGATAACTTATTAAAAACACATTAGATTCTCTACTATTAAGTTCTTACGACTTACTACGTTCGTACTACACGTGAAAAATTATGTATCTAAGAAAATAAATATTTAAGAAAATGGCTAACATACCACTACTAGTGAATTGACTATTATTAGTCATAATTTCAAGCAGCTCGTTAGCAGTTTCGTAACAGCGTCTCACATGCCCTTCCGTATTTTCTTTACCATCTGATGTCTGACTTATCAACATAACTACATAAATTTTTGGCAGATATAAAAATGGATTGATATGAAATGTATATTTAATATATTCGTACAAAAAACACAAATACAAAATCGTCGACAAAATTGTAAATTTTTAAGTCAACCTTGCCAAACTGTTCATAAATTTTGACGACCATTTGAAAATCGAAATATATCTCGGTGGCCAGATAGACTTCGGATTATAAAAAAAATAGCATATGTATTCACGGACAAACGTCCTCTATATTGTCTTATATCAGAGTCGGTACTCTGTAACTGCCAATTGAGGTTGCGATCCCGACTTCAATGTTGTTTTTTGTACCACATAATCCCAAGGCGACAATCAGGGATATTGGGAGAACTAGATCGAAATTACATTTGGAAGTTACAGAGTACCTACGCGGTTGCAAGCTTGTAATGAAACTTCTTTAGGCGCATGAGGGTAAATTTTTTACGGAACGTCACCAAGATGTACAGCGTTTTTGTCAAAGAAAAGGGAGAGCGCGATTGAGACCGATTGAGAGAGAGTGAGAAGGGTGAATTACCATATAGAAATTCTATTTTTAAATTTTTTATTGAAATATCAAATGATGAATTGTAAATTAAAATGCCACGTGTTTTTATTATCGAAGAAATACCTAGATTTAAAAAAAAAAATTAATAATTTGTATTAATTTTCGACACTTAATATTTTCATGACAATTAAATTCCTAACATATCTTCCTTTTTCCCTCCCTCTAAGTCTCGGAAATCTAAAGTTTTAGATTTCTATAAATATAAACAAGAGTTAAAATTTAGTTTGCCAAAGAAGTTTCACTTCTGACATGTGTACTTTGTGCGCACGCACTTTTTTAATGTAATAGGAGGCATACGGGCAGGAGGCTCATCAGATGTTGGACACTCACATTGCCAGAAGGCTCGCAAGTGTGTTGCCGGTCTTTTAAGACTTGGTACGCTCTTTTCTTGAAGTCGAATTGGTTCGGTAATACTTCAGTGGGCAGCTGGTTGAGGACATACTCATACTTACGCTAAAGAAAAACTTCGTTTAAGACCTATCTAGTACCATAATTATTAAATGTTTATCGACTTCGACTACTTGCATTCACAACGTCTGCTAACCTAAGTTTATATTTAAGTGATACTCAGAAATAGGGCTTTAGATAAAGAAGGTACTATAATGTCACAGACCATTTTTTGTCCATGAATTTTGATATTTGACAGGAGATATTTGTAAGTATTATTTATATTAAATGTCTCTAAATAAAAATAAAAAAATATTATATATTATTATTTTATTCATAAATAAAATTATTTAAGTACAAACAATATAGTCCGCATGGAATGTAAAGCTTTAAACAAATAACATACAGTTCAGTCTTAAAATTAATGTCAAAGAATTCTTAAAATACTGTTAAGGTGCTTTAAACAGAGATTCGAGAAGTTGCGGTTCGTCTAAATCCTTCTTGTATTGCTGCGCGATCTCCTGTATTAAGTGACGCCTGCGCACGTGGGGCGGTTGGTAGCTGCAAAATATACCATGTTTTAGAGACCAAACAAATAATATAATGTGATATTTTTACGAGCAAAGACAGGTCCTTGATTTCTCTACAATATAATTAAATATGAACGTGAGAGTAGATTTAAAAGTAGTCCGGAAACTGGAAAAGTTAATAAATATAAATATATAATAATAAATGTTATTTTCCTATATCTACATCTACGATATGCCAAACTAAAAACAACAAAAATCTTTTCTAATTTTTTAATATGGAAATTACTATTTGATCATTAAGTAATATATAATGTTGTTCTTAAGTCCGTTCCTTCCATATGTTCCTTCTACAGAAATATTGTTTCTTCGGGAATTGGGTATTTGAAAAAAAATATTTTTTTGTGATAAAGGGAAAGATCATATATAAGTTTTATAACAAAACTATTTTTTTAATTTTTTTTCACAATAATTCAAAAGTTATTTCAAAATAATAAATAATTTTTGAATCCAGTACCGAAAACACGCCGAACAAACCCGAGCGCGTGTAACGTCATAATGTTAGTTTTCACTCATTGCAGTTGATAGAAAAATAATAAATACAGTGTTTTGATATATTAAATTTTGTTAATTAATATTAATATTTAATGTATTAAATATACTATATATATATATATATTAATAGCCGTAAACGCTGTACTGTTAAATTGCTTTAACATTATGACGTCACAACATGGTGATCGATCATTCATGGCGCGTTTATTGTCACGTGATTTTTATTTAAATTTCATCAATTTTTAATTGTTCATAATTAATTGAAAAAAAAAAATTTTGAAGTTTTTTGCATTAAATATCAATATTATTTATAATAAAGTTCTAAAATACAAAAAAAAATCAATATTTTTTTTTTTCAAAAACCCAATTGTTCCAACCGGGTTACCAATTATGTAAAATATATCTTAAGTTGGATATGGAAATCTAAAATAATAATAATTAAAAAAAATACATACAGATCAGTATTAAGTCGCGTTCGGCGTGCGAGATGAGTTGCAGCGCGACGTAAGCAGTCTGGGAGAAGGCGTGGCGCCACCTGTCAAATAAATTTATAAAATACTGTTACGAAGACGAGTTGACTGCAATGTTTCTAGAATTTTCCACTAGTTAGAGAACTTTTCAGCAGGCTGACCGTTTCAGGAGAGGTTCAATCACATATTAGAAAATTGTAATTTGCATAATGTTACCCTAGTTTTCAGGACTAGTTATACCCCTTTGATGAAGGAATATTCTAGGCCGAATTTTCTAGGTCTGGGAGAAGGACGGAATGTTACGCGAGAGAGAGGGAAGATCGCAACCTTCTCGAAGCCAGACTGAACACTCTAGAACGCAGTACGACAAGGACTAAGTACTAATTGTCAATCGCTACTCAGTAGCAATCCTGCCTAAAGAGTTCTTGAACATCGTTCATGATTATTCCCAGGTATAAGCAAGCCGAAACGCGACCAATAATTGTTTCAGTTTCGAGTGCGATACGTAATTAGTGCATTTTTGCGCGTAATTTGTGGCTTTTTAGTGTAATTAAATTCCTCATTGAATTATTTAAAAATAAACCCTTAAGATCTACGGCGTTCTCTATCCGATCCCCAAGCTCGTAACAATACTATATATATAAGTGAATTAAAAATATAGTAATAATTTAGTACATGATTTTGCAATAGATTGATTCATACTAAATTGTAAACGTTTTCCAAAGTAAAAAAGACTGTTCAAATGCATCATGCAATAAGTAACTTAAAGTACACAGTTTTGTATAAAATAATAAATAAATAGTAATTAAAATTCGATGGCATTTCTATTCATTTGATACTGAATATGAATTACTAGAGTAACTATTAACTAAAATATGTATTAACTGTATAGTTTGAAGTTGACTACAGATGCATACGAAAAAAGTTTGATTGTCTGTAAAGTCAGTTAACGGACGATAATTTTACGTGACAACGCCATAAGAAAACATTAACGAAAAATAAAATATGAAATACTATAGTTTTTACTTTTATGAATTGAATTATTATAGCTAAACTATCATTATTTTGTATAATATATGGCAGTTAATTTAAATTTAATTGAGATTATATCTATTACATATACAAATTCTTAAAATGCATGAATTCAGATAAATGCATCACAAGCCAAACTCTTAGGCCGATCGTGCCTCTCTATCGCTTGTATCGCGCTCTCGCTTGCACGCTCAGCACAGGTGAAACGTGACAAAGATTCATGTGTTTTCGTGCGTACATCCGGCGTTCATCGATAAGACGTAACGTCACGTCAAATTCTGCCGATTTAAAAATAGCGCTGACAGGTGAGGAAATTGGAAATGATCCGGGATATGTAATTGCGTTTGTATGCGTATGTTATTTATAATTTATACTAACATATCTAGGATAAGTTCTAAGTACATTCATCATTGCAGTCTGTGCCGTAATGGCGATTTTGAATCTTCGCCAGTCTACTACACTTTATCTATGTTCTTAATGGTTTTCGTTCGTATTCTTAATCATAAAAACATTCTACATTTATTAATCGGTACTAACGAGCGCTCCATCAGCCAGTACGCCGGCAGCAGGCGGACAGAGAAGACGCACGAGGCCGCCCAGAACTGCGCTCACGCACACGCACCACACTTCGTGGCGGCGCCAAGGCACGCCCGTTTCACAATAACGGAGCAAATCGTCTACAATAAAGTTTTAATAGATCAGCGTTGGAATTGGATTGTAGCTACAAAGGCCGGCAACGCACTTGCGTGCCTGCCTTTGTAGCATTGCCCATTTGAGTGCCCACTTAACATCATGTGAGCCTCCTGTCCGTTTGCAAAACAAAAGAAAGTTTTTTCTTTAAAACAAAAGAAATTAAGCTAAATTTACTAATTTAATATTTTTGAAAACAATAATTGTTCCAGCAAAACATTACGGTAATATATATTTTGTCTTACCAATGGGTAAATTGAGATGATCTTCAAAATCTTCCAGCCATATTATGAGTATCTTCGGTGTGAAATCTCTGTTCCTTCGACCGCTTCCTAAAATTTATAATCAATTAATAAAATTGTAATTACAACAAAATATGGTACATACATTTTACACCTTGAGATTTTCTTATCAACCTATGATAAATATTTTAATTATTACGACCTCATGAGTGAATTAAGTTGATGTCTCCCTTAAAATTCTAGGTTTATCCAAAACAAGTCATTCATAGCAATTAACAACTATTTAAACATGATTAAAAGATGAAATGATGATGAAATAAACAAGAAAACTAATTGAAGCGTCTCAACAAAAAATATAGTTTTTTATAAAAATAATCTGAAAAATAATATACCAGTAAGCGCCCGGTCCAATTCAAGCGACAATGCCCGGGTTTTGTCCGATAAAGGCGCACGTGTTCGTGTACGCTCGCATTCGCTCGTACTGCGCTCGTAACTCGCGTGTGACCCACTCGATACGTCCCAACATGACCCGTGACCCTTGTCAGAATTGCGACTGAAAATCAAAGAAATCAAATTTAATTGAATACATCCATAAAAAGCTGTTATCACTTATATATCATATTTTCAACAGTGTAAGCCTAGCCAGGCATACGACTTTAAATATCACGGTTTCGTATCCGGTCTGTAAGCAATGGCTTCTTCTATTTATGTGCGCCATCATTGTACATACGATAAAGAGAAATATCGGGGGGAAACCCCCCCAAAAAAAAAAAAAATTTGGGGGGGGGGTGGTTTTCCCCCCCAAAAAAAAAAAAAAACAAAAAACTTTTTTTTGGGGAAAAAACCCCCTTTTAAAAAAAAAAATTTTTTTTTTTAAAAAATTCCCCTTGGGGGGGGGGTTTTTTTTTTTTTTTTTTTTTTTTCCCCCTTTTTTTTTTTTTTTTTTTTTTCCCGGGGGTTTTGGGGTTTGGGGGGGGGGGGGGGGGGGGGGGGGGGGAAAAAAATTTTTAATAATAAAAAATCCCGGGGGGGGGGGGGGTTTTTTTTTTTTTTTTTTTTTTTTGGGGGTGGGGGTGGGGAAAAGATTGGCTTCCTAAACCAATAAGGTAACACCCCATTGCAAGATGCAGGTATTTACAAACTGGGTTTCGGGGGGGCCTGTCTTTAGGAACAACAATATGTCAGCAGACCAATGAGACACATTTAACGCCACAAAATCAGCAGTTGAGAACACAATATGTAGGCTAATCACCTGAACCAAAAATTACAAAGAACAAACATATTTTTACGGAAGCTAATAACTACTTTAAAATAAAATTGAAAATATAGTTTTTAATCTCAAAAAAACAATTCCTGTTTAAAAAAGAAAACCGCAATTTTTTTTTTTTCCACCCCCCCCCTTTTTTTTGTTGTTTACCGGGGTGGGGAATATAAGATACAGATATCACCTCTCCATCTTTTTATTCCGCGTCATTAAATTTAATCGGTAGGCATCCCTACTCATCGGATAATTTAAAATTATGTTAAATAGACGTAAATTTATAAGGGTCGTAGGCCGAGAGAAAAAAGGCTTAACAAGACAATACTTGATTACGGAATAGAAGATATCTTTTCGCGTCTTTTTTTGGGGGGGTTCCCTTTGGCGGGGGGTACTCTTTTAAAATAGCAAATCGTCAAACAACACTTATTTTAAAACAAATATCGCAAATTAATTAGAAGTAGTCTGTCTAGCACTAGACCCAGGCCCTGTTATCAACTAGATAATCGTTAACTATATAGTAAGCCTTTTTACACAGCTTTTCCTTAATACATTTCTTAAATTTAAAGGCAGAGATAAAAGAGTCTCTGGGATTTTATTAAAGAAAAGTATCCCTTGTCCCAAAAAAGAATTACTAACTTTAGATAGTCTAGTACTAGGAAATTGCAGCCTGCGTTTGATCCGAGTATTAAGTATTACTATAGAATCCTTTATAATAACTTTAATAAGACGTTAATGAAAAATGTAATTAACATAAGCACACAATGTTTATATTTATTTAAAAAAAATTATCAATTAAATAATAAATAATAATATTACTCACTTAACAGACAAACAGGAGCCATCCACATCAGTCTTCGTGTCTTCCTCGGCTTCGTTTAGCTCATTACCAGAAGGGACCACAAAGGCTATCTCGTCCGTTGAATCTGACCAATATAAAACCTGTAAATATACATTAATTGAAAAGATATAAGAGATATAGAATATTAAGCATTTTATATAGAACTTATTCGATTAAAAACAATTATTTAGATAATTATATACAGCTATACGCTCACAAGAAAGGTCTTCGATCAGGACATCCTGCCTGTCTTTACTTACAGAGCCGAAAACATAACGCACGAAGGAATGTCTGAAAACCGCGCAGTGGGCGATGGAGCGTGCAATTTCCCTTCGCGATCGCGTACGAAATGAAGCCAATCGTGAAAATGCCGGCTCGCAACATCTAAGTGGCGGTGGGTATCTGGCCTACATAGCGCGCATGGACAAGAACCGATCGACCGGCAGGCTCCTTTAGTGGAACCTCGACAGAACAAAGGACCGCGTGGCCGCCCACCGACTAGATGGACTAACGAAATCGTTAAGCAGGTTGGCTCCCAATAGAGAGGCCAGTGCAGGACGTACTGGAGGGAAATGGAGGAGGCCCACGTCCAGAAATGGACCAAATACAATAATAGTATACGCTATTCAAGACAAAAATAAATATATAAAAGTATAGAAACTCCAAGTATTACACATTCAATAGCCGTTATAGTTAGGCGGGTAACACACACACACATGTTGGATTTCTAGATTCGATTCCAAATTACCAATTAAAAACTAATCGGTGAAATAGACAATTGAGTTCATTTAAGGTTCTTTATCAACTAAATTTTTTTAGAAAAAAGGAGCTAACAGGCCAGAGCGACGCTCACAGTCACACTGTCAGAAGGTCGCGATTTCGTTGCCGGCTTTTTATGTACGCTCAATGTAGTAACTTAAGTATGCTTCGTTTTATAAATAGATTATACAAACCTGTTCCCGTCCATCGTACAAAGCCGGTGCTATCTTGTCCGGTGGAGTGTGCTCCGTGTGCGTAAAGTGCGGTTGTGCGTCGTAGCTCGTACGGACATGTCCGGTCCAACCGGCGTGCCCGGATACTCGGACCGGCGTACCCAGACTGGAGAAATGTACAGAATTGAAATATAAAAAGGCAATTGAAGGTTAGCGATATTACTGGCTTTTTGTAAGAAATACAGGTATCTGTAAAAGAAGAAAATCACAGGCTTTGATTACACACGTGGACAGACGAACAAGTGATGGCGGGGAAATTATTGGAGAAAGCATTAAAAAATTAAAAAATTTGAGCTTTTACCCGAGGGGCCATATAAATATAAAAACAATATTTTATTTTATTATTGAATTGTAACCGTATATGAGTTCATATTTTTATGGAATGAAATATTCTTAGTATTGTCTTTTATTGACATAACTTTCACACATTTAATAATAAAACAATTTTTTACCGGATTGAAGTTATGTATTTACAATTATTTTTCATAATTTTAAATTTAACCGACGTTTCGGTCACGGTGAATTTCACCGTTTTATTATTAAATAAAATATTCTTATCGAGCAATCTGATAAACAAGCTAGGTCTGGATATCAATTTCTTTAGTTTCTATATTTTATGAATCGATGTAATTTTGTTTTCTATGTGTTTTTTATAAGCCTAAAAGTGCTTCTCACGTTAAATGTTGTATTTTATTTTTCTTTTGTACCAATGTTTTTCTTATGTATGAGTGTGCCGATCGTTGGCAAGTTTTTGTAAATAAATAAATAAAGCTATATTATTATGTCAAACACATTACGACTATGGAATAATTAACTTTCGACTAGCTCCTTGTATTGTAACCGAAGTTAAAACCCAAATTTATAATTAACTGAATAGCCCAATAATTTAATAAGCATTAGATCAATTTGTCGAACTTCTACTGCATTTAGTTAGCGATAAAAACTAAACCGTTTAAAAACAAAACTGAACTCACCCTCTCAACATGCGTATGAACCCAGCAGGCACTGTTTCCGCACTAAGGGAATTAGCGACTATGTCGGCGGCACGTCTCTGTCCTGCGCGCACGCAGAGGACGTGCACGGTCAACGCGGCACGACTTCCCGTGCCGTCCAAACGTCGCAACGCCGCTGAGAAATCGCTCGCCGAGCTATCCAACGCTTGAAGACGGGGTAAGGAACCCTAAAAGATAAAAGGAAAAACTTATTTACGAAATCTCTTGCGCTAGAGTATTTTTTTCTATTACATTTTTTCTACGTGAGTAGAAATTAAATGAATCTTTTGGGAGTTTAAGGAATCTTAAAAAGGGTGTTTTGAGTTAAAATAATTTAATAAATTCGTGTTTATATCAGTTCAGTATTTTTTTTTTGTGTACAGTAAAAGCTCCCTATTCGCGCTTCCTTTATTCGCGGATTAAAAAAATGCAACACAATTTCTTTATTCGCGGCAAAAAATTTCTTTATTCGCGGATCTATAATTTCATACAAAATTCCAATAGGTGTTTAACGCAATATCATATAGATAATATGGAGTGTAATCCTGTAATGTGTGTAATGGACGAACTGACACCACACACATTGAAGTCATGCTGGAAAAAACTATGGCGGAAAATGAAGAAGAATCCGTGCAAGTTCAAACTTTGACTTTGGTTTAAGAATGGCAAATGAGCTTTGCGATTTCTTTATGAACATTGATCCATCTATGGAACGAAGTCTTAATTTTAAGAGGCAAATTGCTAATGCGACTGCTGAGTATCAGTCTGAATTGAAGGAGCTATTAAAAACTGCCAAGCAAGAGAAAATAACAAAATTCTTCAAACCATTGCCTAAGCCTGAGTTAGTGATTATAATCAAAATGTTCAATAAAATTGATTTTATTGAACATTTTGCACCTAGGAACGTATCCCCTATAAACCCATATAAATTACCATTCTGTATTCACGGTTTCTGTATTCACGGTTTCTGTATTCGCGGCATATTAATGGAACGTATACCTCGCGAATAAAGAGATTTTACTGTACGTTACATAGCACAAGCCTGGTTATTTAGTTATATTATTCGAAGAGTTAAATAAATTAATCCTAATTATCATAAATGTTGTTCTGTACAGTTTCATAGACAATAGAACTTTCTAATATATGTATTCTGTGTATGTATGTAATATTTGTAATTAAAAAACAACTGGAGTAATTTAACACGCGTGTACAGGACAGGTCTTTCGGGTCCGCGAGTTATAAAAATACTAAACCTTTTTATCAGGGGCGATATTGAGATAACCAAAGTGCGAGAGGAACATTCGCGCCGTCTGGAACTCCGTCACAGGCTCCGGCGGTACGTATTCCTCGCCAGTCTAGAAATTAAATGTTTCTAAATAACCTAATGAAGCTTTGAAATGAAAATGTCCAAAACATAAATAGATCACTCACAACATTATCCTCGCTCTCTCTAACGCGTCGTTCGATAGAGGCCTGTTGCTCCAACAGCTTAAACAGTACGGTGGCTTCTGGGTCATTCAGTTGACGGAGTACCGCGTCCAAACTTGGAAATGCCGAGTCACTAAAAATATAATTTATTTATTTATTAAAAGTTTACCACATCAGACATAGTACTAAATCTACGGTACATGATAAAAATTCTTTTATCTAAAATGTATGAAATTTAGGTAAACATAAATATTACAAAAAAATTTTTATCGTCGATAAAATTTGTGTATTCCATGTGTATTGTATAAGAGTGTTTCTGTTGAAGAAATTTCTTCGCGAATGTACTCACAGGGCACACGGCGGCGGGGCACACAGCGGTCGGCAATGAGGCGGAGGCCTAGCGGGGGGCTCCAGAATAGCCACGGGCCGGGGGCACGCCCCTCCTGCCCCCCTACCTGCGCTCCTAGCCGCACCTCTACTGCTCAGGGACCACGCGTAACGACCCCAGCCCGTACGGATGATCACTGAACAAAATTTATTAGTTCAAGTGTTAGTTTACGGTAGAAGACAGTTTTTACCCGATGGACATAAGAACAGAACAACACAATATTTTTTTCCCAACAAGTAACGTATGCACCATATTTACTTTCAAGAAATTAGACGAATATTCATCCTACACTTATATAACAAGTATGAACTTGTAAAAAAATATTAAATACGACATGAAAACATTGTTTGGCACGCATTTTTCGTAAAGAGACAAAAATATTGACTTAATATAATATTCATTAAATTGCTTTTATTTAAAAGGCATTTTTAAATAAATATATAGACACGAGTTCATAAACCTAAGTTACACTTCAATATAAGTGTATTCGACCTATTTTACATTTTCGGAAACGAGAATTTTGAGTGTGGAAAAAACTAAACGGCTCATTTTGGCAACAATTGTGCGATGAATGCTAACATTTGATTTGCGCTTCTAAATATTTACAAAAATATATACAGGATGGCCAAAAAGTCGTGGATCAAACGCAAATAGGGGATAGATGAGGTCATCAGCGGCAAAAAATTGTTCTACGGGAGGTCTCTAAGGTCAACCCCTGCAGAGTTATGATTTATTTTGGTTTTTATATGAAAATTGACTTTTTTTTACTAATTCTTATTAAAATTCGAAAAAATCTACATCCCTGTATCTTTTTCATAATATCCACTAGATTGGTACTGATGAGTTCTTGCGTTAGACATACTATTTATAGTTGTTTATTGAGTGTATTGAAGATAATATTAAGTTATACGATATAACATTTTTTCAAATCATAAATTTTTCTTTACTTTGGACCCCACTGTGAAAAAAAATTACTCCACCGAAAAGTGTCCCTGTACTACAAGTTTTGGCGCATTTAATAGGGATTATTAATAGGGAGGCCCAAAAGTGACCCTATATTACAAGTTTTGCCGCTGATGACCTCATCTATCCCCTATTTGCGTTTGATCCACGACTTTTTGGCCATCCTGTATATGTCACTTAACTAACTAGTTAGGATACATCACTCACATATGTATTAAATTTTGTTTAACCATCATAGCTTTTATTAATAAATGCAAGGTCTCACCGACAATAGTGGGCTGAGGTTCCTGGCTGTTCGCGAGCGGTTCTTCTAACAACGACAGTAAAGTGCTGCCATCTGCCACAAAATGCCGTAACTTGCCGTGGCCGAGGGCAGAGAGCCAACGCTCGTCCAGACGACACCAAGTTCCCGTACCGTTTGTGCCACTCTGAAAGAAAATTATATTTCGATCAAAAATTAGTAAAAATCCGTTCCGTTTGTCTGGATTATTATTTAAAAAATTATCAAATTGACATATTTATTTTCGGTCAATCGCAGTCTCCAATCCCTAATGGGGCATACGCATCGCCGAGACTGTTTCATTTATATTTCCTTAAGGTAAGTGAGCAGCTATTCGCCTCTATCAACCCAAATCACCACAATGCTCTATTGAATACTCAATCAGTACTGTCCCGCATTTTCTGAACACACCGTCAAAAGTCAAGATGGCGCCTCGACCCCACTCGAGGCATTTGCTCTGCTCTGATTAGTCTATTAATATTCGTACTTTTCATCGTTAAGTAATGATTCCAAACTTTGAAACAATTAAATAATGATATTTTAAAGTAATAGAAGAAATGTCAATGATTAACCAAAGAATTGACTCGATCAGAACATTTCTGACATATATATAATAAAACATCATAATCATCATAATTATCATTTACCTGCTCCAAAATCAACATGAGCAGTGCTTCGGCTGCATCACGCACTCTCATGGACACAGGCTTCAGTTCTTTTTCATCTTTCATTTTGGTTGGCTCCCCGGGCTTTCCTGTAAATACAACTGTACCTCGAAATCTTTCTTCCTATAAACCTAATCCACAACTATTCTTCTTCTCGATGCCGTCCAAAATACTTAAAAATAGAAAATTTTAAACATTTAAAAACTCACCCTGACTCTTAGAACCGGATATACCCAGTTCGACGACCTCCATAAGTGCAGCGAGGCAATCCGGGTCGTTAAGCAGCGCCGGGCAAAGCCAGGAAGCGAGGCAGGTGTAGGCAGCCACCACGCACGAGTGGAGATCTCGAGAGTGCGCTTGCGGCGGTCTTCCGCATTGCACTGATATGTAGTCGCAAATCCAACGTACAGCGCGCTTACGTTCCAACGCGTCTGAGCAAAATAAATATGAAAATTAATTCACAATCGTTTAATATTGATAAAAAATTATTTTCGCTGTAATACTTTATACAAATAACAATTAATAAAAAAAAACATATAGACCACAAGCCCATGAACAAAAAATACCTGTGAAATGACCCAACCTGAATTACGCTTAGAAGGCCTTGGCTTTCGACCGCTCCGCTGGGAATATGTACGGCGTTTACGGGTAAAGTATCTGTATATGTGTCCAAAAGGAATCACACAAATGCCGTACAGTAATAAATGACCTATATTGCTTCTGCAACTGTCGTCGAATTAAAAATTTGCACCGACTTCCGGCACCATCACTTTTGTACGGCACTAGGTTTTTCGACATTTATTTTTAATCATCTATACACTTATAACAAAGCCGTAGATTAATAATTAGTCGAAATTCCCCCATTGTACATGAGAAAGTCCATTCACTCACGTACTCACATGTACCGCTCAGAAATGACGGCATAGTGCTCAGAGCTATTTTCAGATATAGTAACAGCCTTCTAAGCGTAATTCACGTTGGGTCATTTCACAGGTATTTTTTGTTCATGGGCTTGTGGTCTAATAATGAAAACATGACATTCTTACCTATGATTATTTCTGAAGCGCATGCAAAGGTAATAAATTAATTAGTAAGAAATATTAATCACATTTCCCATAAATCAATAAGTCTATACCTGGTTTAGCAGAGTGCAACTTGGCGAGGCCCGAGAGCAACTCCAGCGCAGCCAAAGAAACTTGCAGATCTCCCTTCCAGGAGGATATAAGCCGGTGACACACGAGATATGTCGCTCGAATCACAAGTGCGGCACCTTTATATACTTGTGTATTAGTTTCAAATCATTTAATTCGACTCCCACGCAGTCTAATTGAAGTAATGCGATAGATGAAAAATTGTAGTCAAACGAAAATTTAAACTAAACTAACTACATACATTCATGTATCTCTGAAAACACGCTAAAATCATGCGTACGTTGTAACTCTCGATAGAGACAGCGAACACAAACGTAGTAAAAGTAAACCAGTTTAAATCAAAAATCCTAAATCAATTTTACAAAAATCACCATTGTTACTTTTAAAAAAAATTGTGCGTGTACTAGGTGTACACACGTAAGAAGTGAAACTAAGAAATAAGATCTTATTTTTCGAAAAATGATCTACTATATGCAACTTTACAGAAATTCGTTAAATTAGATAAAGTTTAACAAAAGGCTTTTATTATCATAGACATGAATACAAATATTTCATTTTACCTTATTACTACGAAGATTATTATAGAATTTCATTAATTGTAATAGAATTATTACTATCATTGAAAAACGTGACGATTTGCTACAAAATTTCTCCCATACGTCGATAAAGAAGTTTCATTCCAACGCTGATAAAGAAGTTTGACATCAAAAAGCGTTACCGCGTACCCGAAAAATGTGACGCGTAACGAAAAAATGTTACACTAAATTTTTTTTCCAACCCCGATAAAGAAGTTTCACTTCAAAAATCAATTAAATCTGTTTGCTACTTACCATACAAATATACAATTAATACACAGACGTTCAAATAAATATCAATTATTACAATATAAATTATAGAATGACACTCGTGAATAATTTCAAACCTAATCTACAGGTGAGACGATACATGGAAACATAAACTAGCAAGCAATAAACAAAATAAATCGTAAAAAGCATAGATAATCAATATTTCTGGGCGATTTTTGACTTGCAAATTAAAAATTTTATCAGACCAATATTAATACAGTCTAAACATAGCGAGGTCTCAAGAAGAGCGTACCAAGTCTTTAAAGGCCTGCAACACACTCGCGAACTCTCTGTCATTAAGACTGTCCATGGGCGGCAGTATCACTTAACATCAGGTGAGGAGGCTCACCGCCTGCCTCCTGTTCTTTAAAAAAACAAAAATTCTGGTCATTGTCGTTTCATTGTATGGACAAGAAGGCAAAACCAACCAAGAAAATTTCAAAGCTTCAGGAAGTTTGACGCAAAGTTACGTTACATGAAGTTCACACTGCTCTAATTATTTTTTTCCATCCGCTTGAGAAAGTTAAAGAAAACAGTAAAATATTTTATTTAAACTGGCAATTGAAATTAATTGTAATGAAGTAGTCAAAAATCGCCCTTATTTAGCAACCAAAAAGTGAAATTACCGAAAACAGGCGATGATGGATCTAGCTCCCTAACATCGGCGGCGAAGTCATCTTGAACGCTTTCAGCGCTTGCTGGGCCACTGCCGCCCTCTGATCGAGCTAAAACACCTCCCAAATAAATTCCCAGCCTCTTTCTTTATAATTTATTAGCTTTCTTGCTTTAAAACGAAAATGGCAATACTGTTGTTTTAACATTTATATCGGTTCCAATATATGCGCCATCTTAGTTATAACGGATTAAAAGATAAACTTCAGTTATATAAAGTTTATAGTTCTTAAAATGAATAGACACATTTTGTATCTGTTTTGCTGAACTTTTAAAAGTAAAGTACTATAATCGCTACGTATTTACGTCCCCCGTATAACCCGGAGATTTATTAGGTTATATTTCTGTAGTGTGAAATTTATAAAGATTTGTCAAGTCCATAATTAGTTTTAAATACTTTTGCACCTTCAATTGGGTTGGTATAAAATTAAACTAAATAACTTCATTAAATTCGTGTTAGTTTTTGAATTGTTCAAATTGGTTTTACGAGAATACTCCTACAACGCGATTTCCTATAACGCGGTCCGGTTAACCACGTCATACGGTTTACTGTATGTTTATTTCGCACCCATTTAATGTGTATTGATTGCTACGCAAATAAAATCAGCGTGTTTTGTGTAATGGTAAAATGCTTAATGTTTTGAATGCTTAAGATTTTTATGGTGTATTTTGTGTTTCATCATCTGAGCATTGTACAAGCATAATCAAAAAGGGCCGTCCATGAATTGCCACGTCATAGAGGATTTCATGTAGTTCATCCTTTCAGTCTTAATAAATGTACTCAATACATATATATATGTTTGCTTATCTTGCCGAATGAAGAGGTCTATAACATATGAGGGTGTGCAATAATTTAATAAATTTCGTAATATTAGCGCGTTTAACCAATGCAAAAGGGCATTAAAGATACATATCAGAATGACCCTAGCAGACTAAAATTGGGACGACTGCCGGATGCCAATGTGCATTCTCGTGTAAAAAAAAATGTAATGAGAAATAAAGTACTTTAAACGTTACTATAAAATTAGTTAAAAACGTAACAAAAGGTAATTTTAAAGGCATAAGAAGTAATTGAATGATTTCAATTGAATTTGTTTCGTTTCTGACTTGCCTTGATTTTTTTTATAACTTTATTCATATAGGTAAACAAGTACACTTATGAACGTCAACAGAAAATATGTTCAATGGACACTAAATTTACATTTACATAGGGACACTTCGATTTTGGAAAGAAATAGATAAACAAATCTTACTCCGTATCAGTCCGTATACGTATACGCAATTCATGGAAGGCCTACATACCTTTATACTCTGTGCTATGAGAGAGAGCCGAGCCAGGCGGAGCGCTGTGAGCCTTATTTGGGGAATGCGTGTTGTGTCTCACGCACAAGTAGAGGGCACTAAGTAAAGGTACGGCAAGCGAGTCCGACGTTTCCACTTGCACTGCTGACACGCAGACCAGGGAGAGCTTCGCACGTGCGTATTCGCCCAAAGTCATACCCGCGCTGATTCAGACATGAATATTCGTTAATAAACTTGAATTACAGGATTTTTGAAGATATACTTTTTTTGAGCGCGTTAGGGAAAAAATGATGGGAGTAAATTTTTACGATGCGCCGCGCACACCGTCACAAAAACCGACACCCTGTAGTTATAGTCAACATTTTAGTTTTTTTTTTGTGAATAAACTTTATTTAACTAGATAATGCGTTATAATAAATAAATGTATTAAATACCGTTTTTCTATTGTTACTGTCGTTTTTTTCTATGTAGAATCTTGTTACGCCAAAGATGTATAACTTCTAACGCGTGTACATAAGTACACACACGTTTTTTTTCTATCAAAATCACATTTTTTATCACAGATAAAAAAATACCATCTGTTTGTGAACCTGGGTTGGACCAAAAATATTTAGACGAATTAAGTTATGCCTACCTATGCACAAAGGCATACTGTAAGGGTAAAACAAAGGTCATATTTATAATAATATACTAGCTGACCCGGCAAACGTCGTTTTGCCATGTATATTATTTCTAGGAAACATTTTTTTAGTTCAATAAAAAGAACTATCTACTAAAATACAAAATAAGGGGTTGATCATAGAGGGGTAAAAATTAAGGGTTGTTTGTAACATTCGATAAAACAAAAAATGTTGTCTAAAAAATAAAAAAAATAGGGTAAATTTAGGGGTTTGAAAAGATAGATAGTAGCCGATTCTCAGACTTACTGAATATGCATACAAAATTTCATAAGAATCGGTAGAGCCGTTTCGGAGGAGAATTGGAACGAACATTGTGACACAGAATTTTATATATTATATAACATTTTAAAAAAATGTCCTAATATTGTCAACAGATTATTTAAAAATTATATTTTTATCTTTTTTTATAGTATAGAGAGGCAAGCGGGACGCCCAAAAAGGGCAGTCATCGCAGCCCATTGACGACCATTTTAGTCACCAATTAAAATGGGTGTTGCCAGCCTTTGAGTGAGAAGTATACTCTTTCTTTAAACAATTGAAGGACGTGTCCCCCAGGGAAGATCCCCACCGGGATTCGATTCCACAGTTCGCACTAAGGTATGCAAAGAATGTTATGTGTAATTCTTATAAATGAAATTGTAAAAAAATACTTACTACTCATTACATCCCGGGAACTCGGGAACCGGCAACCCCTTATAGTGGTAAGGGAAAGCTACCAAAGACAACAGAAGACTGATAGCGGCCTTGCGCAGTTCACGCTTGTCTATGGACCCGCATTCGAGCTTCGGCTCACGCTCTGAAAGGATCCGATCTAACGCCGATATAAAGTCTGGAACTAGGACTAACACGCCGTCGAGGTCCAATCTGAAAAAAAATACTCCTATATGAAGTGTGAGAGTGAAACGCGTATACTCCCACGTGGATCAATACTTTGGTGACAATTATTTATTTATTTATAAACACTTCGTTGCAGAAATAAAAAGGGGGGCAACTGGCAGCCTCTCTCTCGAGCGAAACAAATTAGATAAGGTAAGCAAGAAGTGCAAAAATACATAAGACATATAATTATTTAGACGAAACTAATAGAACAAAACAAAGCAATTCAAACTTATGTAAGCAGTTATCGGGACAATATTTAAAAAAAGGGCACATGAATCACGTCAATTTTAGTTCAGTTTCACATCAGTTAGTACGAAAGTTGAGAATACGATGTTGACAGGTTTTTTTATGTTACGGGAGGAAGAGGGACAGGAGGCTCACCTGATGTTAGGTGATACCGCCGCCCATGGCACTGCCATAAGAAGAAGAAAGAAAAGAAAATAAATGGTACGTAAGTACGTACGGTAAGTCGAATTGGTTCGGAAATAGCAGTGGTTCCACATAGTGGTGGTGCGCGACAGAAATTACCTTAAGAAGCGCTCAGTTGAAGAACGACGGACGTCAAGGTGATACGGATGGTAGTAGAGATTTAAAGGAAGATAGAGAATACTTTATGCTACACTACTTGTTACCTGAATATATCAGCAGCATCCAAAACCACGGCGGCTGCAGTAGCCGGGTCCCTTAGCCCGCGTTGTAAGGCAGCGTACGTACGAGCTAAGTACGGAGCGAGAACTTCTTCTCGACATTGTTTCGAACATATCACCCTGCATAACGTGCCTAAGGCTACTGCGCGACCTATTACGGAAGAAATTATCATTTCATATTTATCATAAATACTATTAAGCCGTTGATAATTTTAGTTAAATTTAATTTAATTTAATTCTAAACGAAACGTTCATAGTTGTCTTATAAAGAAACGAAATAGCTCGTCAAAACTAAGTTTGACTAACACAGATCGTGTATTAATAAAATTATTACATTATTAAAATATTCATTTAATACGAATAAACATCCTTACCAGCTTGATAACTGAACAAATTCAGTTTCTGCGAAGCGTCCGACAATGACGATGGTGGCGGAGTACCTTCAGATCTTTCTATGAATAAAACAAAAGTATAAAACTTCTAGAGCCGAAATTAAATAGGAACATATATAGGTGGAAATCCACATCCTGGTGGAAGATAAAATTAAAGAGATTGTGAGTAAAATTTAAAAGGAGTAGCGGACAAGTTGAATTTAAAGGTCTTCGTAGGTAATATAATTAGGTCATTCAATTAATAAAATAAACATACGCTGAGTATTCGTAGGGTTCGTCCCGATCAGGGCTGCCTCAAACAGCCATTCACCAAACAAATGCAATATTGAGTTCACTTTCGGTCGCAAAGGCGTTAGAGGCGGCTTCTCGGTCTCACCAACTGAAATATATAATAATTATAAACAAAACCACAACATTCCTTATTTAATAACATTATTTATACATAAAAATTTCAATAAAATTAGATTTTAGGTATTTCCTTTTAATAACAAATCCTAAGTATGAAGAGTATTATTTTACAATTACTTATTTATAATATGAAACTCAAGTGGATATAATATTTCTATCATTATATTATATAACATACCTTAGCCTACCATTTCGGAGTTTATCTCCGGGATTATTATTATTCATTATTTTATGAGACAGTCTCTTGTTTAATTATTGTCGATGCATTTAAAACTGTGTCGTCGGGCAATAAATGTCACTGACAGTAGGAATGTGCCCGCAATGCAACCCGTTATCGATACTTAGCTACCTGCGCACGCCTCTGATACGCGTTGCAGACCAAGAGCTAAGCTACGTTAGTTTAGCTTAGCTCGCATAGCTGACGCAATTTTCCATACATCTGTACAGACCGCAAACTATGCGAACTAAGCTATGTGAGCTAACTAAAATATGCGAAGCTAAGTTAGTTGTGTATGCCGATGCGCAGCTACACGAGCTAAGTTAAGCCCCTCCCGCTACACCGCACACCCTTTGCACATACTATGCAACACTGACTGAGCTTTGGGTTAGCTGTTGGTGTGCACGCTATTTATTTCTAGCTTAGCTTAGCCTAGCTTGCTTGGCATAGCTTAGTTTAGCCTTGGCATAGCTTAGTTTTCGGTCTGCAACCGGCTTGACTCCTGATTAGATTTTTTTTGTTACGACTTTTGTTACATTGCTTACGCTTCGTTACGCAATACGCACAATGGAGAATTTATTTTCTAACGTGAGGAAATTAAATGGTTAAATTTATCTTAAAAATTACAAACTTTTATTTTCAGAAAGCGAAAAATTATTCCTATTAATACCTAAAATAATTTAGCATATCGATCGTACATATCCCGTTATCGATATGCACCTCTCTTCTTACGCACATCACTACACCTCTCCATAAGACCTGTAAGTGCTAGCCACAGAAAGATAAAAATGATTTCTGACCCGAAGTTTCAGTTCATAATGCGTCCACTATAATTATTTTATGAGACAGTCTCTTGTTTAAAATCACGAATACCTCAATTGAAAATATGAATATCTCTTTTCTTCTCCCTTCTCTCAATGTCAAACTTACCTTGAGACGATATAGAATTGGGCGGAGTTGTCGGAATCACGCTTGATGGACGACTGCTTGTCAAAGCCATAAGAGACGCTCGGGGGGTACCTGCATGAAATATATGTAGGTGATATACAATTTAATATATACCTTATTATTGAAATTTGGTGCAAAATATGTGATAGTGCTATTCAAACTACTGTGCAATCTTTAAGCTAGTGCAGTCACTATTTTCAACTACTGACGTGCCAGTTAATATTTTATAAAATTAATATACATTCAATAAAATCACTTAATTTAATTAAATTTACGAAAGCATGGGTATATATTAAATAATTTTATTATTTTATTCATTAATTAAAATAGATTTATTTCACAACAAATTACTAAAAATAACAATAATACCTGCTTTTAGTAATATAATTTAAAGTATTTACTCCATTATTCCGACTACATAACTTAATATAAAATATTTAAGAAATGTCCCTATTCGTTCACAAAAAGTAAGTATTAAGTATTTTTCAGTCAACGGAAATGGACTGTTGAAGTAGACATGGGGAGAAATTGTGGCAAAAATTAATCTGGAATTGTATAGGAAAAACATTTTGTATGGCAATCAAGGTTTATCATAATTAACCAAATCATTAAAAGATCTTCCATAGGTACTACTTTTGGAAAAAATGTATTATTCTATTAATGATTATTTGCGTGAAACACTATAATTAATATTAATTTGATAACATAATAATATATTTTAATAATGTGATATTTTATCAATACAAATAATTTAAGAATTGACTATAATGTATGTTAAATTCCTTTTAAGATAAATACGCACGCCATTATGTGTTAAAATATGCGAACTTTCGATTGTACTAAAACATTATTGTACCATAGTCTTGCTAATAAATTATTGTTATTATAAAGAAATTCGTGGTTGGAAAGGCCACGATGTTAGAGTATTGTAGCCTTCTTTGTTTCTATCAACTCTCAGCCTTTTTTATTAGTGATTTTTGTTGTTTTATTGTGCAAATAAATTTAAATTAATACGATACTCTACAATAAGTACAGGGACTAAGTTTAAATATTCCTCAAAAAAAAAATATGCATAATAACTAAATCAGTGTAATGATACTGTTTTTAACTTAAGTGCTCGTCTCTTTCTGTGAGGCTTCATTTACGCTGTGTTGGAAAGAGACCGAAACATTGTTTAATTGAAGCTGATTTAGTTTCTATGAATTAGGGGGTTGACTCCAGTCCATGCTTTCGTAAATCTAGAAGATTATCCCATACTTTTTTCAGGCATCTTCTCCCTCGGGCGTGACGTGCTGAATGACTTAGCGAGTCTCCGATGCGTGGGCGGAGTGAGTTCTTCCTCCTGCTCGTCGACCACCCCAGCCACCCCGGTTCCCCCTGCCCACCATCGCTCCTGACCACGCCCTGTGCACTCACTCACTGTACCCCTTCTCCAACCCTCTCTACTCCGAGATATTCCCGTGTACAACAACCCAACATATCAAGGGAAGAGACTGAATGCCTTCATAAAATTCTAGACGGTTTAGTTATTTTTTTAAATATATATTCAATTTGCTATAAAAAAGAAAAAACCCAAACCAGAAGAGTTAGCTGTAACCACACCAAGATATATCAAGTTAAAAATATTTTACAGTTAAACTCTGATTTTTCATTCCTTAGAATTCTGACATTTCATTAGTATTGCTACTTAAAAGTTCTTCACCGAAAAAGGGTCAAATTTGACCCGTTTGAGGGCAATAAAAAATTAAATGTTACGTATTTTTTTATGTTTTCCCTACAAAAATGGTGAATCTAAATATTTACTTACTCAAGTGACCTAATACAAATATAACAAATATTTCAATATCACGAACAATATATCGAATTAACTTTAATTACTTTATTTTACTCTTTAGCTGGCATCACTGCCTACTAATCCTTCCTTTAAAAAAAAAATGTTATCTTTACTTTTGCGTTTTTTACAGCGTAGTGATGAAAAGGGACGTAATTATCACTCGCCGTAAAACCACTTCTAATGTGGAGCACCGCACTTAATAAAATGGATACATTCACTAACAAATAAAATATATGTATAGACTTGTATTCAAATTGATAAATGTGTCCGGCCAAAAAGGTTTGTAATCTCTGTCATGTCAAAAAATGATAGTTGACAGAATTCTACGGAATCGAAAATCAGAGTATAAGTTATTTAACCCATGTTAATAAATAATTTACGCATTATCAACAATTAATAAAAATAACAATACAGATTTGTGTGAGCTTCGAATATCCTAGGAAATGCTTTTGCGTATTGTTTTTATCTGACCAGTGTTAGAATTTGATTAACCAACAAAAAACCTATTAGGAACACATACAAATAATTTTAATTTTTGCCAAAAACCTTTGTTATTTACAAATATCAAACAGAAAATGCGTGCAAACTTAAAATAATAAACACCTAAATTCAATCATTTAAATGTTTCCAAATACTAGTAATTAAGAAAAATTAAACTGACTTCAAATAACTGTGAATCTAGATACATAGATATATTATATAAAAAATTCGTGTGGCACTCGGAGACTCCCGCGGTAAAGCTATTGCATAGCATTTTTTATAAACTTATGCAATATAATTATTTATTTATTTTTTGCAGTATTATTTTTTCTTTGATATTAATTCAAGTTTTTTCTTTGATATTAATATCAAAGAAAAAAAGTCCGGTAGAGTGGTAGATTGAATTAATTCAATCTACCACTCTACCGGACTCAGACTAACACGCCTATCCGATCACGCTAAACCGATGTGAGACGCAGTATGCTTTCTGTCCCGCCCTAACGCGTATTGGCCGCACCTATATTACGTCATCGTGTGTTAGGTTTTTTTCGTTACGGAATTTCTTGATTCGGTCGCCGCGCTCAAAGCCCGCGATAAAATCTATGCAATAGCTTAATACAGGAGTGTGCCTGATCGTGCGACTCTCATCCCTGAGTTCGTAGGTTCGATCCCCGACTGTGCACCAAGAATTTCTAACTTCCTCGTACGGTGAACATTATGAGAAAACCAGCATGTCTCAATTAAAAAAATCGACATTCAGAGTCAAATATGACCTCCTACTTGTCTATGAAATAAAAATGATCAAAGAAATTGATGCAATCTAAGGCCAAGACCCATATAGGGATGAAGCGCGCCACTGGATTATTACTTTTACCTATATTATACCTCCATGTCAGATTTAAGCGAATATCTCAAAAACTACTGATTTTGATGAAACTTGGACTATCCATTTTTGTGCTTTTGTTTTTGTGTTTTAAAGGCCGGCAACGCACTTGCGAGCCCTCTGGCAATGTGAGTGGTTTTGGGCGGCGATGTTTTTATCACGAGCCTCCTGCCCCGTTATATTAAAAAAAATTGTGGACAAACATTCCTAAAGTCACCAAATATTACACAAGATTGGCAACCTATACAGATCGCCTACTTATATAATAGCCAATTCCAACATCACATACGTAGGTCAATATGATAAACTCCTTTTCTGAAGTATATTTAATAATTAAAGTACTTTCTCAAGTCTATAATTTACTTTGTTCTAGAACATTTAGCCTCAAATGAATTATAAATTATAATCAAATAATTTTAAAACTTATTTAATAAATAATCAATTTACCAAGGAAAGCGTCTACGTGAGCGGCCAACCCCAGCATGGCTCGGTGGAAAATGGCAGGAAGTGCACCCAACCACGCCTGTTGGTTGGACCCTTCCTCCCACCGCATTGAGTACTGTAACATTATAAGGGTATTCAGAAAGGAGACTTTTGACAAAGTGGATTTTAGTTACTGTTCTTCATCTTGAGAAACGAAAAAGCCTGTTTTCTGAATCTCTCGTTCGTTCTTCACAAATTATCAAACTAAAGGAATTAATCTATCTTTTTTTAAATTTAATTGGTCTAATATTAGTAGTATGGATTCCCGGGCACTGCCTCACCCACTGCTTCGGTAAAAAAAGCTGTTTCGGAGGCAGCGCCCGCCTAAAAAAAAAAAAAAAAAAAAAAAAAAGTTTGTACTCTAACCCCACTAAACAGGACGTGTGGAGTCGAATGCACTCACTCCTGAAGTGATAGCTCTAACCGTTCCAGAGATAGCTTTCCCAAAACCTTGCTAATTACTTACTAATCACCACCTTATCAGTTACTATTTCCTGCACGAAATCCCCACTCATTATCTAATTACTTAATGACTCAGTACGAATGCATCGTTATCTACTTTCCTACATTCACTAACCCGATCTATGGCTCTAAAAGAAAAATAGAATAAACTATATCTAACCTAACCTACGGGTCTAAGCAAACAACAATAAATATACCTACATTAACACCATTATCTATAATAAAATTAGATGTAAGGGTTACATATTTAAATAAAACATTTTTATTCCAGGTATTATTCTTTTATTTATATGTCCATTATATTTCTATACAAATTTACTAGCACCGTATCATTGTTCTCTGAGTCACACGTAAAATTTCTAAGGAAGTCTTCTAATCTCATCCCCCTGAACTTGTAATATATGTATACCAAACAGTACTCTCCGCACACCGCCGATAGGTAATCCTGAACCATAAGGCTATTGTATCTCCACATGCAACAATTCCTCCTTAAAAATCCTTCTATTGCTTCAATAGGTTTACATCCAAACGAATCAAAGTATTCGCCAACTCTTTCGACGTTTATATGAATAGCCACCCAATGAGACCCCGGCTGTGAATCAGGGTCAAGATTGCATATGATAAGTGCTGGCACCTGAGCATACATCGGCAATCGATTTGAAGGATATACGTTGCTCTGGAGGCTGGGATGTATTCTACGAAGACTCATTTGCACTTCTAGTGTGTTCATACTTTAATACGCGTTTACTCCCCTACTCTTTCACTCTTTTACTGACTACATTTATTACTATCAATTCATATTTGTACCAATGTATTTAAACACACATAATATGATCTCAACATAAGTAATGAGTCTCTTTGTAAAAAAAGTAATAAAGGTAAATAAAAACCATGTCATATTCCATTACATTATATTTTATTATTCTTAATATCATAATAATTACATAAGTGATTGCTTAACTACTATAATCCACACATACATTTCTGTTCTTATCTATTTCTATAATATTTGAAAACTCTGCGTAAACTACACAGTTAATTGTTTCAGTCAATGCGCTCTCGAATCTTACTTCCATTCTTACACTACCATGGCGTACAAGATTCCAATGCACATTAGAGTTAGCCGACAAGTCAGGTGTTAAATCAAAAGCTAGTAAACAGTATCCATTTGAATATTGCTCCCTCGATATTCCATTACCTTCGTTAAGAAAATGTATACCGGTGCCTGAGTACAGGGTGTGGTATGCGCTAGTAAATACATCGTTTGGAAATGATGGTTGTAACGATTTTGAAGGTATCTGTTGACCATCTATATATAGGCTAAATGAGCAAATACCAAAATTTTCAAAGTTGAAAGGATTTTTAACATAACTACCGTTGAATGCTGTATTATTCACAAAACCTATAATACATCTCTTAGGAACCTGTCCTAAAAATATATTGTCCAGTGTTTTACCCTGCACACCAGCTGGTATGGTCAGGACTTTCACTTCACCTCTTGTAATAGGATATTTAGCCGTAGTAGTGGCAAGAACCTTTTGATGAGCTATTAGTATTGATGGATTAATTTTTGCTCTGCGTATTATTAAAGTTGCATCTGTAATACAGACTTTGTACTTATTATCTGCATTCTGTGACATGAGGTTAAATGTTTCTCTCGATCTAACTAATTTTATAGATAATTCGACCCCGTTCATGAGGAATTTATCTTGATTGAATATATCCCCATGTAAATGCCCAATCATTTCAACATCCTTTCCATCCTTTGAAAGTTGTTGTCTTTTGTAAAAGCCCTTGTTTGCCTCATTAGTTTCATTCATTTTACCAGCTGTATCCTCGTACCACAAACCACATGTCAAATGTGATTGTTTGGCGGATGATGAATAATTTAATAGAGTTTCTATGAAAGCGCGATATGCATAAGTATTATTTGGGGGTGACACAAGTTTTTGGTTTAGGTAAACATCCAATTGGTTAAATAAAGAATGTAACCAATTATTGACTGGTGCCACTACATTAGCTGCATTAACTGCAGAACCGTCTTGATTTTTAATTTGAGCCTTGAGATGGAGTAGTGTATGCGAAAGGTCTATGTAGTCATCTCCTGTACCAGGTACTTGGAATTCGATAGGTCCATCATCACTTAATGAAGAAATTGGTTTGTAATGTATCCAGTGTCCATATTCGATACTTGTTTGTGTGGAAGGAAGAGCAAACAGATCCAATTCAGATTTAACGCACTCACATGAATGATTATGAATAAATGACATTATGATTAGTTTGAAAATATATCCTTGGAAATATTAATATTTTTGTTCCTTGTTTTCTTTGAAGCGCCTTTCACTTTGAGGGGTGAAACTCGAATGAGCTCATTACAATATTTTCGTCTCTTATTAACACCCGATCCAGTCATAAGTTTATCAATTTTTGTATCAACTTTGCGTTTAAGGTTAGAACTAGCCTCTTTCAATCGATTTTTAATGGATTCTTTAATAGGACGACTAGCTACAACATCTGACAAAAGCCCAATACCGCTGTTAAGTGCTTCTTTTCCAATCACCTTAGCACCACTAGTGAGTAAAGGTAGCACACTTCGAAATAACCCCCCAAGAAAACTTCCGATACCATGACCACGTTGATGTAAGGCTCCTTTGTAGATTACATTTATACCAGACCCAGCTTGTTGCGAATAATAATGTTCATAAGGACATATAAAAGTTTCTTGAGGTGTATACATTTTAAAAAGGAAATATAGATTATATTTTTTTAAAATGAAGTTTCACACACGATGTACCGTATTGAAATGGTACCGCATTTCCCGTGGTTGTTCTTATATCTATCTCAATAACATCAAATTCTCTTCTCATTACCGGTAAATAATGTGGTGGTGAAAATATATGCATTTTATTTGAACCATATATGTATTTAGCAGGATCTAAGGGTATAATTCTCAATAGGGGTGTCATGACATCACCAACAATTTGTGGTTCTATAATATCGCAATACACAAATAATTGTGATGGTAACCCCAAATGTAGATTAGCAGGACGTTTACCGATATTATGATTTACTAAATTGGTATCTGGCTCAAATCCAAGTTGAAAGCTCAAATTAGGTGATAAAGATAATGAAATTATTGATGGATCCTTTACTGCAACAGAGACAAACTTTGACACGGTGTCCTGGCGAAAGCTAACTTTCTCTTTCGAATTTAAAGCTATAAGAATATTTTGTATATTATCATAGTTCGTGGCTGGTATATGGTTCTTATACATTAGTGTGGTCTCTTCGTTATTGATGGTAGTTTTTTTACTTATGTATATAATATTTTCATGTTCTTGCACGGAGAACATAGTAGAGGGATATTGAAACTCAACTATACCTACCATCCATTCTCCTTCTAATGTAATGGCTTTAGGTAGTTTTGTAGAAAAATTTGATGTCATATTTCCCGGGAAATATTGTGTGGAACTATTGCTGAGTAAAGTTAAATAGAAACTTTCCTTCATTGTAGATTTTTAATATTCGATAGTAAGACCCAAGAATTAAATTTGTTAGGATATCCTTTCCATTTAACTAATACTTCCTTTCTAATACCGCTTTTACGTGATCTGATGATTTTATCAATTTTATATTCGGAAGTGGGGGAAAAAGTTATTTTTTGTAGTTCTTTCTCATAAAAAGTTCCTGTTATTGATTCATTTTCTAAATCGTTTAAAGTGTATACAACCCACGGGGAACGATCTATAATCGAAGTAATGATAAAAATTTCGTTACTCCAATTACTTTCATAACCTTTTTGAAAAACATGTTTGTATTTTGTAATTCTTACATAGTCACCAACGTTAAATTTAGGTACTTTGTTTAAACTTGAAATATAAGTCTTTTCATCATAATATAAATTCCGCCAAACTTCCATAATGTTTTCCATTTTAACATCACATGGTCTCATCTTGATACTAGAGTGCACACTGTGATTATAAGAACTAACCAAATCTTGTAAAATATCTGTATAGCGATAAGTATTCTTATGTGTAAAATAACGCCACATTTTCATTTTCAATGTTCTCTGAAATCGTTCTACTATACTTGCCTTTATATCTGGATTATTTGTAGTGTAATAATTTATATTTTTACGTTTTAAATATGTTTGGACATCCTTAGATACAAATTCCGTACCCTTATCTGATTGAATATGTCTAGGAACAGTTTTAGCTTCATCAAAGATGCTAGTAAAACACGTTTTTATTGTGCATGAATCCTTCTTTTTCATTGCTCTAACATAAGCATACTTACTAAAGGCATCAATAACACACAAAATATATTTATATCCATCATTATATTGCATGTAAGTTCTTAAATCACTTAAATCAGCTTGCCACAATTCATTAATATTTGATAAAATATATTTATTACGCGGGAATTTTTTATAACCGGTTTATGTAATGTATATGTTTCTTGAGACTGCAACCATTTCGAAACGTCACTTTTTGAGATTTTTCCATTCATTGCCTTTGTTAACTTATTGACACTGCTGTAACCAGCTGGATGTGAAATATCATAATAGATGCGATGTAACTCTAATACGGGGTCCATTTCTCCCAATCACTTTTGTTTTTCAAT